GTTGCTGCTCCGGCGGATTTTCTTAGCGAACAGGTCCGACAGCTGCTTGGAATCGAAATAACGACCCTTCAGGCAGATGCCACCGGGAACAACTAGCAGAGCGAAATGGCTTGACGGTCCTGACAACAGATTGGCGTCTGACATTTTCGATAGTGAAAAGTCATGCATTGTCGGCGACAAGACACCTCGTGCAACTGGCCCACTGGGGTACACGATCGGTGGCGGGAAATGACTAATACTTCGTAAATATCCAAACAAAACAAGAACGAGCAGAAAGATCTCGTCCGCTCGACGTCCGTTTGCTATTTACCGGGAAGACCACACCTGTTTGGGGCCATCTTCGGCTTGGCAGAAATACGATCAATGCTTGACGGGCGCACACGACATGCTAGACTTTGTGGTATCGGCAGATTGCTTCTGACGCCCAATTCTGGCCCATGCTCGTGTTCTCCCTAGACGAGGAGATTCGGGGATGGCGGATTCGTGTGGCTAGTGTGCGGACACTGAACACAGATGCCGGTACACGAGCAAGTGAGAGCCCAAACACGCGTGCATCAGTCACGACACGCCGCCGAAGATATCTGACCTCTTGTGACCTTCCAACGCCTCCAAAACGACAGCCACTTCAAGCAATGAGGAAGGACGACCTCTTGCGCCTCATCAACGGTTAGCAACAACAGACAGTAAAATATTCAAAATCCGGTGATGCATCTGCCCGCCATAAATATTTACTTCTAGCAGTTTGTTGTCCAAGAGTTGNCCTGTGATACATCTGCCCGCCATAAATATTCACTTCTAGCAGTCTGTTGACGAAGAGTTCATAAATTATAAACTGGATGATTTCGTGAACGGAAGAACTCGGAACATTTCCCAGATCTACGTATGTATGTATTCAGGTCCTTTTACGCCGCCCCGAAGGCGTGTTGGTGCGGATGTCTCGGTTCGGTCTTCTGGGGTGCCAAAAAGAGAAAGGTTTCATAGCTCGCAGCCTGCTGCCTTGCTGCTCCCGAAGGAAGAGATTGATAGACGCGAGTCTAATGGACTCAGGGGCCAAGTGCTGAGGAACTCAGTGTGTATTACGCAGCTCGCTTTGGACCGTCACGTAGCGGAGGGCAGCAGCTAGCCATATCGAAGTTTCGACATCGCAACCATTTCGTATTTTTATTCTGTGCCGGTACGTGTAGTTTTGATACTTGAGCGACGAAGTTAACCACAAAATAACGAGACTGAAAATGTTTATGTTGAGACACGTGACACCAAGCCATGACCACATTTTATTTTTATTTATTTTTGCCTTCCGACAATTGCAGATGTACCTCAGAAAACTTTCACTTAATGTCTCATACTCTACATGAATATTAAACCAATACGAAGTACAACAACATATGTAGGACTTATTTTTACTGTCATTACATCGTAAAAGTATCTCCTCTTCAACTACATTGACAGGCAAGTTCCGACCGGCAGCAGCAATGCTTTCCACCATACAGAACGCGCCCACACTTACGAACGTCTAGTTTCGGCCGAGGCTGGGGTGCTTAGTTCCTATCATGGGGTCATACTACGAGCGGTCGCAAATCATGTTTTAGTGTAGGGATTAGCTCAAAGAAGGTGCCCAAGTTCTAACATCTTGATTCGTTTTTGGCTGATATAGTAACTCCTGCGTTCTTGAGTGGTGGCGAATTCTGTCGGAAAAAGGGAAGAACGCCGTCGCAGGGCTCTCCTTGGCATTTCGCGTAGTTTTTTTTTCCGAAAGGGTTTCATTTGTATACCTTCGTCACACGACTCTGTCAAATCTGAACCGTGGATTGTGGAGCTGGGGGAATCCTGTTCCCTGTTCAGAGCGGTCACTTCTCGGCCAACCGTTGCCGTTCGACGGCATTGGCCAAACCGAATGAAAGGACGGACTTACATTGTCTTGTCCAACTGCCACCAGATGGAACGAATGCATTTGCTGCCCTTGAGTCGTTCATATCTGTGCCGCCATCGACACATCTCGGTCAAATCCAGCACAAATCGTCATCAAAACCATTCTCAAGAGTTGGTGTATTCCAACTGGTGGGTTGTCCAAAAAAACTACCTCTGAAGCACCATCTTAACCATGACGCTTACTTCGGACCCATTTCCGAGACCGGCGGATTCATGACCCGGGCAACAAACCTTGAGGATTGTATCCAGGATCTCGAACTATGCTGAAACGAGTGATTGCAAAATATCTTCCGAATTGCTAGGATACGCTGGCACCGCTTCTTGTGATACCCGAAGTGTTCAAGAACATAGGTCGCTCGGGCAGTCTTGATTTTGTCTATTTCTTCTGAACGCCAAACGACTCCCTCGGCGAATGCCATGCCACACGTTCCGGAGAAACAACGGCACTTTTTCAGAACAGCGATCCCCATGCATCGACATTGATTGCGCGCGGCAATCTTACTTCATTTTCCTCGTGCACTTCCAAAGAGGTATTCATTCCGTGGCGCTGATCACCCTACATACCACGGCAAACCGCTGGCACTGGAAAATATATGAGCATGGTGGAAGAGTCGGTAGGAAGCTAAGACGCAACAACGACATTGAGAAACAACCAGACATCAACGCTTTACTGGCCAATCGTTTCCAAGTTCCTCAGTCTCCTTGCACTGCCACATCCCCCGTTTGGGCTTTCACTACCTTTCCTGTCTTATGAACGCAACTGTTAGTAGAGAGAGCCGACTGCCAGTTCTCACCGGATAGCTTGTTCCCGTGGAGATCCAATACCGTCAGCGCCGTCAGTCTGGCCAACTCCGGTGGCAGAGCACCTGGGAAGTTTGGTCGTAGCATGGACCTGATGGCAATCATTCATGTATGTGAAACACTCGAGAGCACCGTCGATACGACGATGTACTTCTGTCGTTCAATTCCGTCCGAGTGTACTGCTCTATATCTTGTGTGTACCCCGCAAATGTTGTGATGCACGTCGAGGTCTTCCCCAAGCGAGACATACATCCCAGCGTTTCAAACAAGTGCGAGAGAGTCGGGACGGCAAGAGGGGGGAAGTGGCGAAAAAAAAATGCCTTTCGTTGTGAGCGGTTCCAAAAGACCGACTGGCTGCGCTCAGTACTCCGATGCTGGTGGTGTTCCCCGTCGAACACAAGCAAGAAGGAACATCACGTCGAGTGTGCGTGGTCGCATCAGCAAGCAAAACTCAGAAGTAGAACACATCGCATGAGGACATTGATTGTTGGGTAAACAAGAAACGAAGGGGTGAAGCTGATCCCAAGAGGACGCTGCCACTCCACGTGGACGAGGCCCACTGACACCACCAAATCTCGAATGTTCTATCAGGAAGATGGGGAGCCATAGATTACAGGCAAGCAGCCCACACCGCCATGACTCGAACTCGAACTCCAACCCAATCGCTGTCATAGCATGAGGTATTACATGCCATGGCAACCGCGGGATGCCTCCTTGATCCAAAAGCCAAGCCAACTAAACGGGCATGTTTGATCTGAACAACTCATCCTGAAACACAACCAAACACCCTCGCACGAATGCCCCGGAAAATACAACGTCGGCGGCCTTGCGATCTGGCGCTTTGACACGCAGTGATGCCACAACTGCAAGAAGGTAATACAATAAATACATGTCACCACAAGGGGATCAAGTCACGGCAGGGGCGGAGTCATTGTCTTGTGGAGTTGAGTCTTTTTCTCGAGGTAGAGCTTCCATGTGTGTGCTCCTCTTTGGCCAAGTTTTATGAGAGGGCGGGAATTCGGGGGGGACAGGTGATTCCGGAAAGCCTACATTGCCGACTGTACAAAAAATGTTTGGTACACGATAGGATGGCGAGAAAGAACGTTCGGCGAGTTCTCACTGGAAGTAATACCAAGACCAAGTACTCTGAAAGTTCGAATGGAAGAAGCCGTTACCCTTTGTGCTCTACAGACCACTCTGTTGCAGAGCACCGTGGCGTTTGGACCTACCGGACAGCCCGTTGTCCCCCAGCTCCAGTTGTGACACCCTACCGTCATCATCCACGGTAACGCCGTACCACTCTCCAAGGGGGGCAGATGTCCCCCACGCCGTGCCTTTTTTCCATGAAGGGCCGTTCGTTGCGATGAACAAGGCCAGCAGAGCAGCGCGGTCGGTCGAGGCGTCTCGCGTTGGTTTGAGGTCCTTCCCTGATCCAAGGAGAATCTTGATCACGAGAGGCTTGCAGCGGTCCATATCCACGTCGTTTTCACGCGCCAAAAGCCACAGATCCGACACAGTCTGGCCTTCTAGCATTGCCTTGACCCCCGTGGCAGGTGCACGAAAGAGGGCTTTACCGGACGCTAGTAGAATCTGGATCACCTCGTCTTTGCTGGTACATTTGGCGACATCTACATCGACTTCATCGGCCAACTCGAACAGGTCTCTCATCGTCTGAATGGCAAGCAATGCCCTTGCAGCCACACCCCCGACCTCGGGGTACATGCGGTAAATCTCGGGCTCGGTCGCACAGAGTGTGCCAAAGGCTGGGAGGAGGCGCTTGTCGAGGTCAGGCAAGACTGGTTCAGCCACCGGGGGAAGGGCGCATACACAAGACACAAGGTTGAGCAGAAATGCCAAGACCTTCGGTCCATCGGCAGAAGCACCGCGGGACGAGTCGACCCAGAGTGGGGCCAGGACGTCCACGATGTTCACCAGGGTCCCGTTTACCGTGAACTGCTTGGCTTCAAGCGGAGACTCCGTCTGTGGTGTGTGAGGCACGTTCCAAAAAGACATAAGGACAGAGCAGGCGCGTCATTGAATGGAAGAACTAACCAACGTCAACCTCAGCACACGCAACACACGAACTCGGGGATAAGCACCTTGTAGAATTGGTGAAGGCGCGTGGAGCACACAGAGATGGTTGATAACCAACGATGTCGCTCTTCTCATCTCTCCCCATCAGTGACATACCCAATAAACTCTGGTCTTGCACACGAACACATTTAAGCTCCGATACTGTTTGTTCCAATGTTGGTGGGCAAAGACTGAGTTAGGAGACGGAAATAAAGGTATAGCAAACGATATTGTGTGCGGTACTCACCTTGCTTGCGAAGACATAGCCGGCTGAGACAGCTATGACGGCCGCGCTGAGCTTGACATCGACGGTGTGACCCTGGACCAAGGCCGTCAAGGCCTTGCTGCGCGCCTCGTCCAGGAACCGCACCTGGCCTTTGCTGGCTGTGAAATTCTTGAGAGCCATCTCTGCCTCTTTCAGGGGCGCGCTCTGTGCAAGACCAAGAGGATCAAGAGCAAAGTTGGAATTGCTTCTCAAGTCTCAGTCTGTCGTAGGGTTGTTTCGCCATTTTCGACGGACTCCTGCAAATTTTCGACACCAACCAATTGCACTTTCATTCGTTTGATGCAGCGCGAGAGCTGTGACAACAGGCGTGGACCGATCAGAGGGCACAGCTTTCCTACCCATGTCCTCGACACTATACGTTCGGATGCGGTAGTGGCACAACAGGTCACAGACGTTCTGAAGGACGATTTACTTGCCATCAGGGTCTGGATGCCCCGGTGGGTAGCTTCCAACCCTTGCGTGAAGCTCTTGAAAAACTGCTCGTTCTCCGATCGACACTCGTCCACCGATGCGCTCACGCTTGCTAGGCCCCGCTTGATGTTGGCGACTTCAGAACGAGCGCCCTTTAACTGCTCCATGGTAGCCTCACGCGAGCTCGCCACATCTTCCTTCACGCCGTGTATTTGTTGTGCGACCCCGGCAAGCTGTGCCGTGGTGGCCTTCCGGGCATCCGCGATATCACTCCTTACGCCGTGCACTTGACGACCAACGCCGGCGAGCTGTGCTGAGGTGGCGTCGTGGGCAATTGCTGCGTCACGCCTTGCCCCGAGAACTTCGGAATGTGTCGCATGTCGCTCTGCTTTGGCGGCCTCACCGAGCGCCCCCAGCTCGCCGCTCAAAGTTTCAAGGCCACGCCGTGTCTGTTGCAGTCGGTGTAAGGAGCATGAAGGTAGCAGGTAGACGCGCAAACACGAAGTCAGAGTAAGCACGGGCATGATAGTCATGTGAATCTCACGCTTAATCGGAGAGAACGTTTGACACGCCCATCACGCCGCGCTTCCGTCAATGACAAACCGCAAGTTGGCATTTGAAACCACCCGCAGATGGCAATGATGAGGAGCAACGCATTACGCGATGCCTGCCGAGGGAAACCATGTGTTGGGTTGGATTACTGATGCACTTCGTTGATCTTGGTTGAATGCCACAATGGCAGAGCAACATGTCGAGGATCAAATCAACCGCGGCAGACGGTACGTGTGGTGAAGTAATCGGTCCGCCAGACACACACCGTCATCCAGCATCACCGACTATTCGGCGAAATTGTCAGGGGACGAACATGAGAGCCACGCGACTGAAGTGAAAGGATACGACCCCGTGCGTGTGAATGTCGCTACCTATCTGATGCATGTAGCCATTATCAAGTAACACGATGATTGCACCGACGTTTTAGGGCTTGGTGGTACAAACTCCCGCACTACATGTATTCTCCCTGGACTGCACCCTCAAACATCTTCCAGGAAGCATTGCGCAACGGGAATATTGCACTTGTCCAGGCTTTTGGATCAGAACGTGGAGGATTGGGCTTCCTTCGGATCCTCAGCGCCAAGAACCGCCGACGGGATCGATGCAGCTGCTAATTTGCTGTTCATTAGAGCACTACTGCGCCAGACTATACCATGCACAGCACGACCTCTTCGCGGTGTGGAACTGAAGGGTTGCTCACCCCCTTTCATGAATGCCGCTGAGCACTACGAAAATGCGCAAGGTCACATATTGTACCCCCCACAGTCACACACGGGCACACCGAAAGCACCAACTTCTCCGTGTGAAAACACTCCCGTCCGTGCTTGACGGTGGTCTTATCAGACGTCTGCCGGGGGACTAAAAATAAAGTAATTCAGTAGATGGCTGTAATGTTTCTTTTTCAAGACTGCCGCGAAAGCCTGAAGAGAATCACCAACGTGGAATCACCACTCCATTCGTTGAAACGCATGGAGGTAAACTACTGTACGCGCCCAAAGATGAGAAGCGTCAATATCGAACAAAGGGTCAACTCACTATTGGGGGTCAAACGACGCCTCATAGCGTTCCATCTTTTTCACTAAGGCATTGAAGGTTTCTCGGCCCCCAGACGGTGGCGGGGCCCGAATCCCAAGCTAAATAGGATCGTAGAGTGAGCAGTACAAGGAGGACACAGAATGGTCGTCCTTGAATGGGTCAGTCAATGGGGACAGAATCACGCGATGAGGGCACAACGTGGACATTCTTGAATGGCTTCAGCCCAGCATCGAATGTTGTTGAGGTATATGCAATACAATCTCGTGCTGACAACTTGATACTGGCCAATTCCATGGGCCACGATACCACGGTACACGATGCGGAACAGAGAACGGGACGGTGGTCGGAATTCCTGGTGGCTTGACTTGAAGTCATACTTCGACGAGCGAGATTCACAATTGTTCTGTGGTCTCCAGCAAGTCTGCTTACCCAATGAAACATGTTTACTCGTTCCGTGCAAACTTGCGAACACTGTACAGCATCGTAAGGTGATGCTGCCATGCACGCTTTCGAACGCCCGATCGACATGAATATGCCGGTTGAGCCATTTTGTGTGCTGACCGGTCGTGTGCATGCCTCAAGAAGGTAATTGTTTATTGCATGGTGAGAAGGGATTCAGATCTCATTACATTGTGCAGGATACTCGTGATTTTGCGTGGGGACATGAGACCAGAAACAGTCTGCCATGCAACGTGGAGGGCAACAGCTCCATTCTTGGACAGCGATGAATCACAGCAGCAAAGGGGGGCATTGTGGATCCAAATTTATCGCGAAGTTCAATGCTTGTCTTGGATAACTCGATACATTTTTTCGCACATCGATAAAGCTCTTGATGTACGCACAAGCAAGGCTTCCTTCCAGGAAGTCAGCGATGACTCGCACTGTTTCACACACGAAGAATGGTAAATACCTGCTGAAAGGCAGTGGGAAGCTGTGTGGGGGGGGGTACGGTGCACGAGTTCATACAATTAAATGAATTACGCTGACACGCTGACACGGCACAAGATTACACACCCACACAACCGAAAACACCCCCTACAGAATGCATCAATTCCCAGTGCTAGAATGTTTGGCCTTCAAACGAGGAGCCGAAACACCACCCGGGTTACGTAAGATATTACACCCTGCGAGGTTAGGACGCGCGTATCACAGAGTCCGGGCTACTGTCACCCATAACCCGAACGACTCAGAAGAGGTTCCTGATGACACCCAAGTTGTCCCATCACGGAACATACGCAACATAACCTCTGAGTTAGGGGGGACCACCACCCCGTAAGCGGTCTTTCAATGCAAACCATCCAACACTAGACAATGTCTCCCCCGCCTTGTTTGCGTCCTTTCTCGTTGCCAGGCGGTAGCGATGGATAAAAAACCTATTGTCAAAACATGGCAACACACTCTCTCTCGCTGTTCGAGAGGGCGCTGTAGACGTTCATGCCGGGCGTATGTGCACAAGACCTACCCCTTCGCTTCCGCACGACTCCAAGAACGCTTGGCACGAACTTCACTTCTCAAGTGGTCAGTGATGTCAGTGAAGTCACCGTCGTTCAGGACCACACACTCTCAACCAGCAGCGAAATAGTGTTTCGGTATTTTGACGGCAGGGGTATCACCCCCCCCCCCCCCCCCCCCCCCCCCCCCCCCCCCCCCCCCCCCCCCCCCCCCCCCCCCC